TTTTTTCCAAAATGTTAATCCTTAAAGTAATATTATTAACCTACCGACGATATTTAGAGTAATTTTGGTTCGTAGAATTGATCCTCCAGTGCTGCTATGACAACCGTCATCGTCTGGAAAATAAAATTTAAGGCGTCATCAGACTAAAAACTCGAGCAATTCAAATAACAAAGCTTAGGATCTGCTGGTAACTATACTGAGGACGGACCCTGGATAACACTCTACTTTACATCAGTGTGATTGTAAATATGTGCCTGTAAGTCTACAAGGCAGTAAGAAATGGACAGAAAATATGGTTGTCTGTCTAGCTGTCTGGCTGTCAGCCAAACTTCTAAAGGCAACAAAGGTTAGAATACTTCCAAATCTATTATGTACAAGGTTGGGATCTATTTGAAAGCACGCTGTAAAAAAAGCGCACGTTCAATGCTGTACTTCTCTAGCTTGATAGAACAACAGTACTAGCACAAGCTGTCGACGTAAAGGTGAAGCAAGCAAAGAGAGTGTGCTTTTTTTCCTTTTAGTGTTTTCTAGGAGAAATGGAAACATTTCCTGGTTTTAAGATCGAGTCATGCAAACACTCGCGAAAGTTTGGGGAAAACATTTTTAGAAAGCTGTGGAAACACTCGCCTATAAGGCTCGTGTTGCTACACTCAGAAATGTCTCTGGATTCTTCAAACGTTATGCTACTTCGCCATACCTCCTGAACGTTTTCGCTTACTGGGGACCAAACCGACCCCAGAGCACTTGACCTCCACATTTTCAGCCTTGCACTTGTCTTTAAGTGCGGAGTGACAGACCTCGTTGAAGAAAGTCTCGTTCAAAAGCTGGATAAAGTTCTGTTTTATTTGTGCCTGAACTTCTGGTGTAGTACAATTGCCATAGTAGTAGTTCAAATCCATTTCCGTCTTGACAGCGTAAGCGTGATATATTTCTACAAAAGGTTTAATGGACAAAAAAAAGTTAGTTTTCTTCCTTACATTATCCGCGGGTCTGAGTGGGGCTTAACTGATCGCAGAGAATACATGGGTCCAAATTTGTGAAAGTCAGTTGAACAAAATGACCAGTTTTTTAACTGATGGTTGAGATCCTAGATTTGGAAACTTACTGTTGAGAGACTGCAATTTTAACTGATAACCTGGAAATCACCTCCATCCTGACCGAATTTATGGCTTGATAAATATTGACAGGAGAAAACTAAACAAATTTAACGTTTTTCGTATTTTTGTCTGCTTTCTATTTCATGTCAATTACTGAACTAATAAGTACAATGAGCACATTTTTTCATGTTTTGTAAGCAACCATTTGGCGCGAAAATATGCCCGGATATCTGCCCTCGGACGTTATTAGAAGCGAACATTTGTCCGAGAGCGAAACTCGAAGAAATCTGCAAGCCACGAGGAGAAGATAATGTATAGGGAAAAAATAATATGCAGGGATAATTTTTGGAGTCAAATGGAGGATACTGTGTTTATTATCCTTCAATACATATTTTTTTTTTGTGATACACGGGATCTAATGAAAATTAGGGAATATCACTCGGATATTCCTCAGTTTTAGACGAGGGATATTTAGTCACGCGACGCGTTAACACCAATTGCATGCAAGCGAAAATATCTACTGGATTAAAATCAGTGCTCAATACTCAAGTAAATCGGGGAGCTTCACACCCAGAGAGCCCTACTTCCGTGAGATTTAACTTCTTTGTGTATAAGACGTCATTAATTGGATCCACTATCTTGGAGTCCACTGCATCGTTAGGTCCTCCGTAAATGAAATAAACCAGTACAAAAGTCTCAACCCATGCAGGAATATACTTAGAGTAACAATCCAAAGTTACCGAGGAGCTGAATATCATTCAAACCAAAAAGTATGTGAGAAAATTGTCAAAACAAAAATCAGAAGAATGTCAAAGCAGCTACATCTGTGGACGGCTTTTCACATACAAAGACGTCCCCCACACATGTAGATGAGCGATTACGAAGAGGACCTGGTAGATGGCTTTTATGTGATTTCTGTTATTGTAGTTTAAAAATTGAAAACGAATGCAAACAATAATTTACTCACTTGTACAGTCTGGAAAACGATTTGTTGGCTTCCAAGCTCCTGATGCTCCGCAAACCCACACACTCGAAAGCAAAGGCTGAGCAAAGTCCCACTTTTTGTTACAAGAAGGTGAACAGATCGAACCCATTATCCAGTCATCACAAACCTTTGCGCCCCCTTTAGGAGGTGACAGGTCACTGCATTTTGTCGCTGAGTAAAGAAAATTACGAATTTCAGTGTGTCATTGTTCTTTTCTTTTGTTTGTTTGTTTGTTTGTTTGTTTTTTTCTTGGTTTGTTTTGTTTTGTTTTTTGTTTGTTTGTTTGTTTGTTTGTTTTCTTTTTAATACACCCATATGGCCGGGCTGCTTTCGTTTCTAGAGTACTGTTCGACATTGCTTGTTAGTTCTGTTTTAAAAGAGGAACCTTTCATAAACATTAAGGGTGCGTTTCTTTGGGAAAATACAAGATTGGATTTTTAAATCTGAGAATGGAATTGCATTTTTTTTTCCTAAACAGATTAATCGAGGATCACTCGGATCATGATGCATCAAAAAGAACTGAAAAATCCTTGCCCAAAGGTGAATTATTCTGTTCATTTCATGCAACACAACCTGATCCCACTGATTTTGGATTAATCTGTTTAGAATAGAGACGCAAAATCCGTTTTCGGATTTAAGAATCCAATCTTGAATTTTCCAAAAGAAACGCGTCCTTAGTTCATCACAGCACAGCGTCTTTTGCAGAGTGCAGATACAGACAACTTTCTGCGAATGGACGGAATGCTGAATAGGTCATAAAGAGGATAAAACAACTCGACAAGCAAGTTTAACTTTTAAAAGACCCTAGAGTTTGGCTGGTTTAAGCTACTGAGCGGTATTTACGCATTGCACAGAACGTTTTTACAACTTTTAGATACTTGGTGTTTTTATAGTTTATGAAAATTAGGTTTTATATCTTAAGTTACTCCTTTGCTACTTACGTTTAACTGTGAGTGTAAACTGACAGACGGCAGGCTTGTTTTTGGGATTATTATCGTAGGCTATGCAATGCACATTCCAGGTCCCCCAATAAAATTCAGTCCCACTTTGATGACTGCATGTTATCATTAATGGACTATTGCTGTTGTCTTAAAACTGAGGGTTGTTCCACGTCACTATTGTTCTCATCGTCGTAGCAGTAATTTCTTGGTCTGGAGGGCAGTATACAATCTGGGGACCTGAATTATCTGTGACGAAAATAAATGACTGAGTTGTGCCAGGGAAAGGCTGTATCTAAAGAGTAAATCCTATTATCTTGAGATCGTTCTACCGAACAATTTGCCATTCTTACAGATATTATACACTGGGGGTGGAGAGGGAGTAAAGATTGATCCGTCTTGACTCTTAGACCGAAGTAGGATTGTTGGCAACGGACAGAGTGTAGGAGTACGATTTCCTACTTGTTGGTCCAGACAGGGATGAGGACACGATAACAGCACTCAATTTCGGGGCAAGAGAGAGCTACTCGATGGCCAGTTCCCTGTGTGAGACGCGCCTACAGGTAATCATGGTAGCTGCATTCATCCACAATACCCAGTCGAAGATGATGAATACAACTACCATGATTCCCTGCAGGCACGTCTCACACGGGTGATTGGCTATCTGATAGAATTCGCCATACAATTGGCAAAGCCTTTTTCAGACTCACCTTCTAACACAACTGTAAACGAACACTCATTCCTGTTCCCACTTGTATCGCTAGCAGTGTACACAACAAGTGTAGTTTTATTAAAGATGTGTGGTGGACTGATCCCTGAAGGAATAACGGTTACGTTTGGTGATAGCTTGCTGTTGTCCAGCGCGACGGGCTCGGTCCAGTTTACCAATGCTGTAGAGTTTACACTGATGTTTGCACGAATGTCTGCGGGACAGCTCATAAACGCAGGCGGAGTGACATCTGTGAGAATATACCAATAAAATAAGGTAGCGCGTTAATTTAAATGCTATAGAAATCAGTTGAATGGCTGATTTGGTAAAAGCCGCGTTTCTATGATTCTGAGGGGACAGGGGAGCGTTTTCTATCTGTTTAGTTCTTGTTTCTATAGAAATATTTCTGAAATTATGGGGGAGGAACATTTCTTCCGGTCAAATCGAACATCCGTTTGTGCATGCTTGGAATATAGTTCTACAAGGCTGGGATGAAGTTCTGATTGACATACAAAATCCGCGAATAAGAAGGTTTTTCAAATAGACATTGATTATTATTTTACCAGTGGAAATTACTGTAAAGTATTGGTTAGGATAGAACTATATTTAGACTTACACACATCCATATGTAAAATAATGCTATTTTTTCAGACTCACCTTTCAACACAGCTCTAAATGAACACTCTTTCTTGTTCCCACTTGCATCCCTTGCAGTGTACACAATAAGAGTAGTTTTATTGAAGATGTGTGGTGGGCTGATCTCTGCTGGAACAACAGTAACTTGTGGTGGTAGATCGCCGTTGTCCAGGGCGACGGGCTCCGTCCAATTAACCAATGCTGTGGCATTTGCATTGATTTTTGCACGAATATCTGAGGGACACTTCATGAACACTGGTGGGGTAACATCTGTAGGAATAAATCAATAACTAGTGAGACAATCTCAGACAGCGCAGAGAGCAGTTTAGAGCTTTGATTTTAGGTTGGACCTCGTTCATTTTTAAATTGAGTAATACGTTGAAGTAGCAAACGTGTCAACTTTACGTTTGTAATTTAATACTTTTGTTTGCACAGAAATGTAACATGATATGTATACATTTTTTTGTCAAAAACGCACTTAAGATGTATTTATTTATTCACTGCTGAGCCAAATTTCAGAAAGTTAAAATGTCTGATGAAAAATGGAAAAAGAACGATTTTGTTTTATTTTGAAACGCAAATTTTCATCTCGCATATAAACAAAACCAAATTCAATTTCCAGAGAGTCTCGGAAGAGGACATTCTTCATACGGTTGCCACCCTTGCCACCCACAATTATATCGATTAATACAATTGTGAAGCGTTTCAACGAGAAGTATGGACGGTTAACAGCGCTACGCGACAGAGATTATACCCTACATAGGTGAACGAATCCCCTCGAGTATTGATAAAATAAATTTGCGTTTTGAGCAGGTGCCACGAGGCCTCGCAAATTTGAAAAGTAATAAGAAGTTTTTAAATAGACATAACTGATTATTTCACCCACAGAAATTACTGTGAAATATTTGTTATGATAGAGCTTTGCATTTAGACTTCCCAGACATTCATAGGTGAAATAGTGCTACTTCAGGCTTACAACATAATTTAGACTAAGCACAATCGTCCAATAACGTTAATTGATACTGTACATGTATCTGGCCCGGCTGGCAGTCGTGTTACCTTCTACCGGAGTTTAAAGCCGAGGAGAAACGCTACAAAAGTAACATGTACTTGAGCTGGGCCACACTGTTTTATATGGAGTTGGAAACGACACTTGATGCATCTAAATTACTACCTCAGGTGGTATAATATTTAAATCTATCTCGGTCAAGATATGATCTATATAGCTAATATCGCTTACCAAGGCATTGTAAAATCGAAGATTCATTTTTGCTCCACTTTCCATCGTTTCCACAAAGAATCGTGGTAACTCCACCGTTCCCAAGGAAACGATCTTTGCATTCGAAATGGCAGACCGTTCCGCTGACCGGGAGAGACGTACACATGCGCGGATAAATGAAGCCATACCGAGGCGCACTTAGAGAAGGACATGACCGTACTGAAAAAAATGATAAATAAGTAAATAAATAAATAAATAATCAATATAATAATAATAATAATAATAATGATAATATGCTGAGAGTAGATTAGTGTTTTATGACTTCGACAGAGTTTGCAGCCACATATTTGACGGCTCTGCGCCAATAACAGCAACGTGCGCTAAGACGTAACAAAAAAACTGGCCCTTAATTAATGGAGAGTTTTAAAGTCAAAAATGGGACGAAAGGCTTGAACCCGTTCATAACTTACTTTTACAGACTGGAACCGATTTGTCCCAGTACCCTTTAATGTGGCCCGGCTTGTGAAGGCAGGTAAGGGTCTCGGATCCAACCAAATTGTATCCATCGTCGCAGCTCATTTTACATGTGGAGCCATAGCTGTTGTCACAGTCTCCCACTAGAAAGCCATTCAATGGAGGGAGCAATGTTTTGCATCGCAAAACTAAAGAACAAAACAGACAAAAGGACGCGTGACGACCATTTATTGCATTGCCAACGGCATGGCCACTATAATTTTGTATGGTATCTTTCAGATGTAGAGCACATAATGTTGAATGCCTGGATATCGTTCGACATTACCCGACATATTGCATTGACGCGTTTATCTTAGAGAAAATATTGAAACTATCATGAGACCAACAATGATGCATAAACCCTTGGGAAGGGTGTTATTTCATTAACAGAGTTCTTGTCCAGGAATGAATGTAATGACTCTAGAAAAAGCCTTTTGTCCTTGCTTTTGACGCCTGTTTCCAAACTGCTCGCATAATTAGAGGGTATGTCGTAGCGAGCGGTTTCGGCATGCTATTTTACCGCAGAGCCGACATTCCCATTCGTTCCAGGCTTGTGCTTGAGCACAAGCCTGGAACGAATGGGAATGTCGGTTCCGCGACTTTTTCTAGATTCATTACATTCATTCCTAGACAAGAACTCTGTTAATGAAAGAGCACCCTTCCCAAGGGTTTGTGCATCACTGGTTTCCTCCCCAAGGGGCAACGAACAATGACGTCTTAGCCACATATTTGCATTCCGCGACTCTTGCAGAGTACAATTCTCTGAAGAAGAACGCAGAAGGCGATCGAAAATTCAGTTTTAACGTTTTTTAGATCTGTTTCAGACTCCTTTTTTTAGAATTTTAATCATAGGCACAGATCGCTCTAACAGTTTTATTGCGAGACCATTTTGTTGTAGTGATAAGTTAATAGAGATGGTGAATTTTAAGCTCGGTAATGAAATGTGAAGGTGAATTAATCAACA